CAGTTCTGTCCTGGGCTGCTCCCTAGACACTCTGGAGGAGGTGGGCAACAGGAGGATGCTAAATAAGCTAAAAGCTATGATGGACAGTCCCTCCCACCCCCTCCAGCCCGCCCTGACAGCACTAGGTAGCTCCTTCAGCCAGAGACTGTTACACCCGCGCTGCAAGAAGGAGAGATACCACCGCTCCTTCCTACCGACTGCTGTCAGGCTGCTGAATAAAAAATAAATAAATGATGTGGAAGACTCTTGTAAATAGCACTGTGACCTTATCCATATCTGTATTTATATTGCACTTAATTGAACGGTGTTTGTTTTCTTTTTCTTCTTTATTCTTTCTCCCCATTATCTTGCTGCTGTGGACTGTAAATTTCCCCATTGTGGGACAAATAAAGGATATCTTAATTTCCTTAATCTTAATGAGCCTATACAGTATTATGTTCATGTATGTGACATCACTGAAGGCCTAAGGTTGAAATGCACGGCCTGCCACTGTGTGTGTGTGTGTGTGTGTGTGTGTGTGTGTGTGTGTGTGTGTATATATATATGTATATATATATATACATATATATATCGATAATATATATATATGGATGGGAGAAAGGGGTTTGCGACTGTACTAGAGAGGCAGGTTCCCATTCAATCTCAAAGACCCTACTTAGGGTCGATGTTGCAGAGGCGTGTCAACTAGAACAACTCCACAACCTCCAGAGCCTTGAGGACGTTGTAACGGGAAAAGGTCCAATGATGTCACAACACAAGAATAGATGACCAAAAAGAAAAAGAAAAATACATTTTCACAGAAAATAGCAGGGGACCGACTTGAAATAAGGATTCACAGCAACAGGTGATTCCCTCACACGAAGACCATTCTGCACAATATGCTACAAGTGACTCTTGATTCTGCCTTATGGTGAGTTATTCATTTTGACAGATGGCCCAGGCCATTTTGTGTAATGTGATCAATGGCTCATTCGTTTAAATCAAAAGTAAATGGCAGTGACATAAAAGTCTCCTGCTTGCAATACGAATGAGTGGCTATGTTTGTGTGCAAGATTGGAATATGTGTGCATTTTATTTCATGAAACAGTGACTGTGGATGGTATGATCAGGAATGACTCCTCAACCACGTTTGCTGGCCATGGTGCGATAGTAATGATTTTGATTGATGTGGCTTTATGCAGTTAATGTCTTTTTTTTTTTTTGGCAGAGCATCAACCGGGTCTAAGAATACTGCATCCATATGAAAATGGCAGAAAAATTGCATATAAAAAATGACCCGTGGGTGAAGCCAGAGGAGTTGCCACAGAGTAAAAAGATAAAAGTAGCAAGTAGTCATGGCTAACCCTGTAGCTTTCCTCTTGTACAAAGCACCAGCACTTGACAGTTTTAGCTTCTAGTGCACCAGGACTTCACATCAGCCCACAATAACCTCTCTTGTTCTGTTTTGCTTTGTGAATACACTCCTGTCTTTCGCGAGGCAGTCTCGTGATGTGTCTGTCGATCGCGAACGAATGAGCTCTTCGAGCCAGCTTTTTGAAGTGAACAACAAGAACCGGCTCCTTGTTCGGACCCTTCTTCATCGTTCACTTCAAAACTTCTGCACATGGTTGTCAATTCGTGTCTGACAGCGCGCAGCGAAAGTGGAGGCAGTTACAACACGTACAGGAAGGAGAGAGAAACAGAGCAAGTCGAAACAACACGAACACGGTCGACAGGAAAAGGTTAAGAAAATAAGAGATAACAGCATAGAAGAGTTGTATCTGGACACGTCTAAACTTTACTGACAGGTCAAATCCAGAATGTAAAATCTGGAAAAAAAAAGAGTTAAACATATTTTATGATATTAAATGAAGGTGGCAGTGTCTCTCATGGGTTGCTGCTTGGTGCCCGATGAAGGCTGTGCATTGCAGTAATGTCAGTTCCTCGACAATCTTCTCCAAAACACGGCAGAGAACAAGTTTGCATTAAAAAAAAATAATAATAAAATTATTATTATTATAATTACAAAAAAGTTGCCAGCAACATTATTTGGGAAGTTTCAGATGTACAATCCAAATATTTCATTAGTTTTTCTCTATATGCTCCCGTTATCCGTGCAGAAAGAGAGGTGAAATTTCTTCCTTGAGAGGACTTCTAGATATTGTACTTTCTATGAATACCTTGGAAGTTCAGGAATAGTTGGAGGGACCAAGTTATAGTGCAGAGTGTTGCCTTTAAGATAAGCCAGTGTGCAACCATATTTTAATTTATGTTTTTGTTTTGGAGTGATTCAGTGTTTCACTTTAAATTCATATCGAAGAAAAACAGGTTAAAAGTTTCAATTATTAAATGTTCAAGTGAAAATAGTGAAGGTTATTTTAGTTTTTTTAAACACTGTTTGTGCTCTATTTTTTTGTCTCAAGTTCAATTTTTTTTTCTTCGGGGGGGGGGTGAGTGATCTGACCCAGTTATATTCAACAGAGAGGGGGAAAAGAAAAGAATAAAACAGTTTCACAAGGACCAAAAACTAAACAATTAAAACATCAGCACACACATACAGTAATATCACAATAAAATAAATAACACAACCTCACGAACCATTTATTTTATATTTCAATTGGTGGTTTTGTACAGTTAAAAAAAACATTTAATAAAAGGTCTATGTACGGATGCTCCTGAAAACAAATGGGGTGTTAAAACACATTTTGTGTGGGTTATTTTTCTAATCTAACTTTGTGCTTTGTGACCCATTGAACATGTTTTAATTAGACCACACATCCGAAAAAATAAATTACACATGAATGACAAAAAGTTAAATTGTTGAAACGAAGAATTGTTTTATTTCATACAAATAAACATAAGAAAAGTTTAGAATTTAAAATGAGCACCAATATGATGTAATGATGAAATAATAATAATGCAGCACTTTTATCTCAGACAAGTTCTTCATATTCACGTTTCATAAATCCAACAAGGTAAAGTAACCCCAATTCTTCGATTTGAATTTATGTGGCTTCCATGCGGAATTTTGGGGACATCCTAAAATTAAGGACGTTTAACTTTTAACATGAGCACCGATATTAAATAATAATGTCATAATCATAATGAAAATCCCAAATATAATGCAAAGTTCTTTGTATATCTGACTGTTCTTCATATTCAGATTCAATTCTTTCCCTTTGTCTCTCCACCCCTCGCTCATTTGTCTGTGTGTGTGTGAGAGAGAGAGAGAGAGAGAGAGAGAGAGAGAGAGAGAGAGAGAGAGAGAGAGAGAGAGAGAGAGAGAGAGAGAGAGAGACTATGGAAGCAGCAATTTAAAACAAGAACTTTCTTCATCGTGTGTAAGATCTCTGAAGTGACTCACAAGCTGCTGATTGGCCCTTTCTAGCTGGGGATTTCCGCCGGGGCACTTCCTTCACGACTCCATGGTTCGAGTCCTCTGTCACTCACTCTGAGCAAGTCAGAAACCTGTGACAAGTCAACAGAGCGTTTGCATGTGCATCATGGATGGTGAGTAGCAATCCCCTTTTTATTTATTGTACCGTAGTCGAACAGTAGAAGATGTAATGAATGAAAAATGACATTAGGAATACATTGGTATGTGTATGGTGAATATGGCTCTAGAATGTCAACACTACTTTTGCATACAGTATGTCTGTCTCTTAAATGACAACTTGTTGTTTTCACTTTTATTAAACAGTGAGCTCGTTTTTGCACTGTGTCAGGAAATTGCTAAACTAGCTTATTTTGCAATACCCAACCTTCAGCAGACACGTTCATCAATATAGTTGGAGGTCACATTTTTCTTTCCCGTGTGATTCTTTACTTCCAGCTCTTTTGCCCTCCATGCTTGAGGATGACCCACACCAGAGTAAGTACAATTCAAGAGTCAAACAACCACACAGAAAAGCAAGCTCCATCACTCAATAAATGCACAGCAGTGTACTTTCACTTCCCCATTTTGTTTTGAGGCAAAGAATCAAGCGGCATTTGTTTTGTTTCACAGCTGCGTTTTTGAGCTTTGTAGGACTCGAACGATCATCTTGGGACAGACATTATCTGTCTGTGGTGTGAGCATCAGATTTTTCCATTTGGCAAACGATACACACCGCAGTTAGAAGAGAAATGCGACAGGGCTTGTTTTATCCTGGCACCCTTGTGTGTGTGTGTGTGTGTGCGTGTGTGTGTGTGTGTGTGTGTGTGTGTGTGTGTGTGTGTGTGTGTGTGTGTGTGAGAGAGAGGGAGGGAGGGAGAAAGAGAGACCTGTCACATCGAAGTTCTGTTCATATCACATGAAACTTCCTGGTTCACTTTTAGTTCCTCTCACACAGGCACACTTGTGTCGTTCTATAAGTTTAAGAACAGCGTCAACAGCGTTGACACCAAAAGTTGCACAAAGCGCATCGCGGTTTAATTAGTTTTGCCCGGCTGCAGCTCCGCTATATCGCAGGAATGCCCTCACATGTCGGAAAGGAGAGCCACATCAAATGTTACTCTTGGATTAAGCGTGCCTTGATTGGTCATGCCTGCAGAACGGGCGAGAGGAGACTCTTATGTGACGCTCAACGCCGTTCGCGTGTGAGTTGAGTTCAACAAACAGTCTGTGCAGTGTGCATGCGCTCCCGCAGCGTATGAATTGTGGATTTTTGTGTGACGGGAGTGATATTAGACGCCACGCTAACATTGTATGACAAATGAACGAAGGCTGATGTCACTGCAGAAAGGCCACTTTGCATGTGTACATCTCGTTTATGGCAGTGCCGGAGGTGCATGACTGTAAACCACATGGCAGGTGCGGAGAGTTTAGCAAATAAAGTGGAAGCAGAGTCCAACGACTTGACGCCGAAAAGAGGGAACTGTAATTCTACGGTTTTAAAAAGCCAGACACCAACCAGAAAATGGTCATCTGCAAACATGTCGCCAGTACGCTGAGACTAGCGATTCCAACACATCAACTCTTTACTACCACTTAAAAGATGCAACACGGAGCGCTGTACAGAGACAATGTGAAGTTGCGACAAAGCACCAACGTTACACCAAAACCTCATAGTGTTGAAAAAAAAAGAAAACAGTGCATGGTTCAGTACCGACATAGTATTTACATGTTAATTATCATGACAAGAGTTAACCAGCTATTTCTGTCTCTCAAAGTATAAAACAAGTAATGACACGATGAAACAAAAGCTGAAAAAAACCTTACAAGAAGATATTTCAAGAGGTTTCATTTCTAGCTGGCAAACTTGTGTTCCTAAAATTCAACCTCTGAAACTGAAAATTTCATTCCTTGAAAATCGTTACAATCCCAGATACATAGGACAGTATTTTCCATACATTTTATGCGTGATTTTTTTCCCTGTTTTGTTTTGTCATCAAATACAGTTTACAATGTGTTAAAAAAAGTGTGTTTTATCAAGTTTGTGTTTAAAGCACGTTGGTGGATAAAACTATATGAAAACAATATGAGGTCTTTCTACGTACACTTTTTCAACTTGTGGATTTTTTTTTCCAAACAGACGGCCACCATTTATCAGCACTTGTAGATTTACAGCATTTCAAGTTTCATTTTAAATATAAAAAAGGCAATATAGTACATGTTGTGACATGCTGTTTACAAATGAATAATAACCAGCCATGGGTCAGAGTTTTTTTTTTTTTTTAATTTTGAAGCAATCACTTACCATTTTTTTTCAAAAGCCTTTCATGAGGGTACTGCTGCTACCTTTGGTTCTCTGACTATTTCCTGCATTTGCATTCACTGATTGTTTGGACCACCGTCCCTCCCTAGTGGGCGAGCCGGCGATCCGCATCTTTGAGCAACCCAGGATGAGAGGAATGCGCTTCCGGTACAAGTGTGAGGGTCGTTCGGCTGGCAGCATCCCCGGTGAGAAAAGCACGGACAACAACAGGACCTACCCCAGTCTGCAGGTGACGACTGTTTATTGTTTTATTGTCCACTCAAATAAACTTGTCGCGACATCCTTTCTTGAACTCACTTACTGACTTTCCTTGTGCGTGCTTGTAAATCAACTTTTCCACCCACTCCCTCTTGTTCCTCCACAGATTCTGAATTACAGTGGCAAGGGTAGAGTGTGTGTTTATTTGGTGACAAAGAATGAGCCATACAGGCCACATCCTCATGATTTGGTGGGCAGGGACTGCACAGATGGCTACTACGAGGCCGAGTTTGGGCCGGATCGCAAAGTAATCGCGTGAGTTTCACGGGGCTTGTACTAACATGCTAGCTGAATCATTATCACCTTCGTCGCTATTTGAATAGGTCAAGCATCACAAATAAATAAACATGCCTGCACACACACGAAAAAAAAATTAAAAATGGCATCATGGGAATTCCCCACGTGACATCACTGATACACCCCGAACGTGTGGTAGAAAGGGAAAACTGAGGTTGTGCGCGTGCGTGCGTGCGTGTGTGTGTGTGTGTGTGTGCTCGAGCATGTGTGAATGAGTCAGAATATTTTGGTTTGTCAAATTTGCAATTCTCTCATGGACCTCGCTATAGTAAACATTTACATAAAGCACAAGGCTTTGTTCGTCGATTGAGCATTTCTGATGCCATTTTGGCTCCATGAAACAGGAAGTAGCCCGCTAACTAATTGTTCGGCAAATTGTTTGCGAAGTTTGTGCCTCTGTAGTTGCCGTGGCTCATGTAGTATTTCGTGATTGGCTTAGTTTCCAGAATCTGGGGATCCGGTGTGTGAAGAAGCGGGAGGTGAAAGATGCCATTTTACAACGGATTAGCAAAAGGATCAACCCCTTCAATGGTGAGTCCTGGGATTGTCTCAGTCTTTTCATTGCTCTTTGAGGAAATCTTCCATAACAAAGTCATGTGAATGAAACCAAGTGGTGACAAAAAAGGGGGACAGTTTGTTTGCTTGTGTTCCCAATTGTGCATTCCACCTTTCATTCAGTCGGGCCCAGCGTTAAAGCTGCCCTCCATGTAGATTCAAAACCACAAAACCATTAGTGTCTCGGGTGACCTGGAGCTTGTCCCAGCAGACTTAGGGGAGAGAGGCAGCGTACACCCTGGACGATAGCCAGTCATGCACATATTGACAAATTCAAATTCACATCTAAGGACATTCAAGAGTCACAGATGAACCTTCCACGTATGTTTTTGGAGGAGGAAGCCACTCTACCGGCAGTATACCCACAGGAGCATGGGAAGACCATACAAACTCCACACAGGAAGGCCGTTGCCAAGAAACCCCGGACCTCAAAACTATGAGGCAGACTTGCAAACAGCATGAAATATTTGCGTGACAAATACTGCTTGACTTCCATTCGCATTCACGCGGCTGTTAAAACATTGTGACATTCCGACTGTGGCGATTTTATCTGAACAAAAACCACAGCATGACCAATCTTCGATTGAGCTGAAAATGACTGTTCCATCAGAAATTGAATCGAAATGTCGCAAAAACAACAAATGATAGACATTAATTGAGTTATATAATGCCACACGAGACAATCCTAGCAATCCTCTAATAACAGTGCATTGAAATGAATGTTCTCATTTCTTTGCTTGTCGTCAACAGAAAGGTCCAATTCTACAATTTCTCAACACAATTCAATAGAAATCGCATGCCAGTGTTTTCTCGAGTTTCCCTTGATATTTCCCTAACGATTGGCCGGCGACCAGTCACCCGGCCTCCAGTTTACCAGTGACCTCACAGAGGACGAGCGCTATGGAAAATGAAATGGATGGAAAATTACAAACTGCAATCGTCTTGTCAACTTGTTTTTTTTAATGTTGTTGCTAAGCCAAAATACAAATAAAATAAACAAAAGGGGGGAGCATAACCCTGCTTAATGCATCGCAGTGTACACTAATCCTTAATCTTGAGATTCAGTACTAAAATGCCCCAAAGGTATGCAACGTTATGACATCTTGCTTTTCTTTTTCTGGGATCAAAGTGGCGTAGTGTGACTGCTCATATCTCAGCGGTCATGAAATAATTGAGATAGGCATCTGGTAACTATTTTCTTCCTTTTGTTGTTGTTTTTGTTTTTTTTTATTTTGCTGCTGTTACAATATCATGTCATCATGTTATGAGCGTATTATCTTTATCAGTACTGAGTTGTCTTTGCTCATGATCCTTTTGTTGACGCCGCTGCCGCTGTGGTTGAAACATTTCAAAAGAGCCTGACCCAATTTTTTTTTCTCACGTCCCACCAAAGCTCTGATTTTAGATATCTAGTGAAACGCCATTTCCCCTCTCTTTCCATTTTGCGCCTGTGCAGATAGACAGCGGCCGCTGTCACGCAAACAAGCGTTAGGCTACTTCCCCGTTCTTGGTCACAGTTGCTCAATTGAGCACATGGAAAATGCCGCGTGAGATATGGGAATGCAGGATTCATTCATAGGGGGGAGGTGTTAACTGGGAGCGGCGGGGTTGAAGTTAAAAGCGAAGTTAGCTATTATTTTCGTCATGCAGCTGTCAAACTACGGGGAGATGCGTTTAATTCTTAGACTCCTGCTTTACGTTTTGTCGACAAACATGGCTGAGTGCCTCTGACCTTGAAGCCTACTGAGGATTCATAGGGCCTCTGGTTGTTGTCACTTTCATGTTTTAATCCTCACTGAGGTAAATTTGGCAAGCTGTACAGAGACGAGGTGCGGAGACTGTTCACGTCGGTCAGTGCCTTAGCCAATCAGGATGCAGAACGCAATTCACTGTTTAAAAGCATTAAAAAAACTGCACTAAAAAAATCAGTGAAACAGCGAAGCCGCGGAAAGTGAACCGCGTTAGAGCGAGGGATCACTGTATATCGGACATTGAAATATTGGAATCAGCCTAAAAAAAATACATATGGGTCAGACCCCATGAATCTATTGCCAAATTTTGAGTGATGCTGAATCAACAGCCGCCATGTCCAAATTGAGAATTATACACATGGCAAATGGGCCGTCACTTGTCTAGCGCTTTTCTACCTTGGGTCCTCGAAGCGCTTTACGCTGTTATCTCATTCACCTACTGGTAGCGCAGCATCAGGAGCAACGCCAAAGCAGTTTGTAAATCTTAGTCTGTTGTGTGTCTTGAACGTATCCCCCTCAGGCAGCTCACATGATGCGAATTGAGGGCTGCTGCAAAATGACTGCTTTTAGGGCTTTAATGTACATCCTGAAAATCCAGTTCCGTTCCTACGGTGAGACAATACCTAAATTTGTATGAAAATCACCATGTGTATCTACGCTAACACAGTCGTGAAATAATAATTAAAACACTCCATCAGTATTAACAATCAAACAGCAAGTTGTGTGGTAATTGGGCAACTCTTGTTGTGCCGCATCACAACGTGCAGTATTCTCACGTCGCTACAAATTAGCTCACTGCATGCTGTTAGTAACCTCGAAATGTCATAATTACAGCCAATATTTATATGACAAGCGGAAAAATTACAGTTCACCCTAAATATAAAACAATCACATGAACAACAGTAAGAATATCGCTAACTAAATGGGCACCATTCACAACTCCCAAGGCAAGGAAAAATCGACTTGCTTGATGCCGTATGCAGTGAGCTGTGAAACCACAGCCATACTTTATCATGGGAACTCTATAATTTCCAAATTGTGGGTTGATCCGAGCTCCCCCACAGCCCCATCGAAGTACTGTACCTTTGAGCGAGATTTTGAAGGGCTCATTGATCCTGAACCCGTTAGCTTTCTTGGTATAACAAGCGGTCATCATCGTCAATTGTACTTTTAAGTGAAGCCGATTTATAATTATCAAGTCAAGTATCAAGTACAACTTTATTGTCAAATGTGATGTACAGCACAGATGAAATTTCTTCCCTCTCACAACATACAACAAGAGGAGCCGCTGCGGGTGCCCGCACCGCCATCAAAAGAAAAGTTAACATAAAATGACAAAATTATACAAGACAACACATTAGACACAGACAATCGTGCAATCTTAACCACTTTCCTGCATACACTTTGTTGTCTGAAGCATTTATAGATGAAAGAGGAGCAAATCAAAGTGTCCTTTTCACCAGTGGATCAAAGACGTCATACTGCTATGTGCACACGTCTGCTACAAGCTAAGCTTGAAAACAAGAAGAAGCTGTAGCATCCATAACGAAAAAGAGGTTGGCTCTCTCCTCCTGTCCCATGTAAATCCGCTTCAATTCCAAGCCGCGACTCCCAGTTCGACATCCGCATTGGCGCTCCGCGCTGACGCTCCTTTCTTCTCGTCGTCGGCTCCTCAAGCCATGCATCATCCAGCCTCAGACTGTCCATCAGCACCGACTTTTCCGCTGAAAAAAATCGGGGCTGTGAAAATGCTGCCTACTTCAGGCGCAAGACACAAGCGCCCTGGAACTGTTTATACATTTATTTATTTTACGTTTTTCTTTTGGGTTTTTTCCCCTTCAGTTTTGTACACATATGCAGCCGATTGAGAAAAGTATGTTCACGTTTGGCATAATTTCAACTTCCATACTTTGGTGGGCTTGAATTAATTTCTTGTCTACTAATCCTAGTGAGACTAACATCAACAGAGTTAGGGTGGCATACATTTAATACAGAAGTACCATCTGACCAATGGTTTTCACTAAAAGCAGTACTGTATTGCCACCGTTTGTGTGATGTACAATGTAGCTCTCTTGCGCGCTGTCTCTCATTAGCTCACTTCTGCTCTGAAACTTGACTTCTCCCTGCATCGGAGGGCATTACTTCCTCTCTCTATTCATCCCAACACACTCAACCAACCTCCATTAAAAACTCACAAACTCCCCTGACAGATCCACGCTTGTAAGCGTGAAAAAGTGCCTACTTGTCAGTAGTTAAGCATGTTATCTGTTCACAGATGATGCTAGCATAGTATCACTTTAGTTTCTTTAATTCATTCCAGCCTTTTCAAGAACCACAGAACCAAAACTTTACACACAATATACTGTAGGTATACACATTTGTCAATACACTGCCTATTTATTCATAAGTCCTTCAGCATGCCTGAAAAAGAGTAAAACGAACAAATCTTTAATTCTACCCGTACTCCAGTCTTCACCAATCACCGCCGATATTAATCCCAAATCGCGTAAATCCTGTCCAGCAATACTACAAGCAACAGTTTTCTTGTTTTGAAGCATGATCCCCCCCGGTACCATTATATTTAGAGTGCTAGCTCCCTATATTTATTGATGACCACCTTTTAATAGAAAATGAGTGAAGGGCATGCATTCTTTTTAACCGTCGTTGTCAGTTGGCCTTCGGCGCCAGTGCTCAAGATCATTTGCAATATACTGTAATGTCGGTCAATTTACTATCGGGCTGACGGGATTGTAATGCAAGAAGTACATCGAAGAAATAGAAATATACTATTTTAAAGAGCGTAGTGCACTCATCAAAGATTATTCATGTGAAAAATAATCAAGCACGATACAAACACTTTCCATTTCATCGATATATCCTCATGCACCCTGTAACCGGATAACATGATAAGCTGTCCACTGTAGTAACCACTGTCGCTGAAAGGGTTAAAAACAGTGGTCAACAGCACTCACTCACTTCACTTCCAGTGTACATATTGGTGAGAAGAAAATTACCACCCATGCCACAGGAGGCGAGTCACGCTTCTCTGCATAGATACATTGATGTTTGATTCTGCAAGCGCAGAGAAGCGAGCAGGGAAAAACACCCACCAAGCTAGTTGCAATATTTATGCTACTCAACACGTTCTAGATGAATGAGTTTCCATCTCGTGCGTCGCAGCACCCCAGTCAAAGATTCACGCTTTCTGGTCCCACTACATTACTTTCACATACGTCACAAGCCATTTTCAGGCAATTGTGTTGGGAGTCTCAGCTCTCAGTTATACACGCAGGCACACGCACGCGCGGGCACACACACTTCTTTCCACTCGACTGTGACATTGCTCAGCGTCACTGTGGCAACAAATTGTAGGTGGGGAGCTGAAAACCGGTGTTTGACAGCTTTTGTTTTAGCGTATCTCAGTCTTGCTGCAAGGTGTGTTTAATGTGGGGGTGTCAAACTCGATTCACATTGTGGGGCCACATACGACCTTGGTAGATGTCAAGTGGGCCAGATCATTAAAATTATACCATACTCTGCTATAAATAACCAAAATAATATGTCTTTCCTTTGTTTTGGTCTAAAGAAGCACAAGAACATTTGGAAAATGTCATATCTTTTACAAAACATTTCATGAAGCACCTTAGATTTCCTTATCCTCCCACTGATTGTACAAAGGCACAAAACTTTAACAAGTAATTGGTATTGAAAAATATAGTAATGCACTTTAAGATTAAACGAGATTTATAAAGAAAGGAATTTTTAAACCATTTACACATGTGCATATAAAATCTAAATTTAATCCCTGCCTACACCTTACAAACTAAGGAGAGTGCTATTAAATGTGGAAAGAATAAAGTATTCACATATCCTTGATATCGTCTGCGGTGTTGGGTGTGTCTCAGCGACAGACTGAGGCTGCTATTGTCTTCTTCTCTGATCAAAACAATGTTGTCTTCTACTCTGATCAAAACAGTGTGTCCCCTAGCGAATACTCCATGAATTGCACCTTATTAAAAATATCCATTCCGTGTCTTTTATCCGTTTATTCACTTTTAAATGATCCTGCGGGCCTGATCGAACCTCCTTGGGGGCCGGTTTCAGCCCACGAGTCGTATGTTTGACACCACTGGTTTAATGCCTATGATGTGAAGATATTTGTACAAAAATTCAAAATCATTGTTCATACAGACGTTCTCAGGAGTCATTTCTACATCGCGTCAATGATTGCCGCTTTAAGTGCGTTCAGCTATGTGGAGTTTTCTTTTTACGTTTTCTGTGCCGTCTACTCACGAATGAGCTTGTTATCTGCGGAAACGAGTCGACTGTAATATCAAAATATGCTTTGAAATTGCTCTCCGATAATAACAAGTGTCTTGGTGTTTTTGTGCATGTGTGTTTGTGCATGTGTGTGACCACAGTGCCGCAAGAGCAGCTGCTGCAGACAGAAGAGTATGACCTGAACGTGGTCCGCTTGTGTATACAGGTTTTCCTGCAAGATGACAACGGCCACTACACTCGAGTACTCAACCCTGTAGTCAGCAACCCCATCTATGACAACAGTTAGTGACATTTTTTTGTTCTTGTTTGTTTCTTTGTATCATGTTTGGCTTCAAAGTTTACTCCGGAAAATCATAATGGAAAAGTAAATAAGTAATTCTTGGCTCCGAGCAACTATCACAAAAGTCTGCAGTACCCGTACAGGTCATGTTTTAGGTCATGTTTATCATCCTTCATCATGCAAGTGGATAAGTAACCTCTGTTAATATTAACATTTTAACTTAAGACAAATAATGCAATACATCACAATCATGTGAGTCACTTTTTAGATGCGCTTTAATCATCCACAAACCCAATTCCAATGAAGTTGGGACCTTGTCTTAAATAAACATACGGTGATTTGCAAATCATGTTCAACCGATATTTAATTGAATACACAACAAAGACAAGATATTTCATGTTTAAAATGATGAACCTCATTGTTTTTAGCTACTGATCATTAACTGAATTTTTTTATGGCTGCAACACGTTCCCAAAAAGCTAGGACAGGTGGCAAAAAAGAAAATTGAGGAATGCTCATCCAACACCTGTTTGGAACATTCCACAAGTGAACCTCAGGCTATTCAATGAAATATAGGTCAAGCATGATTTGCAAATAATTGTGTTCTGTTTTATTTATGTTTAACACAACATCCTAACCTCACTGGAATCGGTTTTATAATATTTAATTTCCTTTTTCTGTGTTTTGTTTGACTGTTCAGTGTGTTTCGGCAAATACGACCGTAAGATAGACGTCCTCATGTCTTTGGACAATCTTCGAAAGAAAAATAACATACCACTCAATTTGGAGCAGAGGACGTAAAATTTAAGCCTATGATAATACTTGTGCAAAAGTAGTATAAAAACATTGCACTATTTATTGTTCAACCTCATTTGCGCCCGTTAGAATTATCACATGTATCTCTTAAAACAGTTGCAGGTGCTTCAGTCACTTGTGAACTAATTCAGTGTTTTATCTCACACACACACACACACACACACACACACACACACACACACACACACACACACACACACACACACACAGACAACCACACACACACATGCACGCACGCACATCCACACATTGAGAAAGGGGAAGTTGTATACTGTACACATGAACCCTCAAACAAGTGTCACCATGGAGTACTTCCTCTTCTGACAACAGACATGTGACTCAACTTGGCGAGGCTTCAACTTGAATGCTGCCCCTCAGTTTGTTTTCATCTGCCTTGATGGCGCTCAAAATGTGTTTCCGACCTGACACGCCACCTGTGATTCCACCCGTTTGCTCTCTTGTATGTTTCAAACGACAGGGGCCCCAAACACTGCAGAGCTGAGGATCTGTCGGGTCAACAGCAACAGCGGCTCTGTTAAGGGAGGAGATGAGATCTTCCTCCTTTGTGATAAAGTGCAGAAAGGTACACTGTGTGAAGTGTCTTCCTTTCCATTTCTTTTTTGGTGTTTAATTCCGATTGCTTCCTGTTTCTTGTTCTAGACAGAGGTGGGTCGCGACATTTACTTGACTGCTTTTATTTTTATTGTTGCTTGTGCAATCTATTTGTTTTTCTGTTGCCAGCGAGACATTTGTCACATGACTATGTTTCACCAATCTACCGTAACCAGTGGTGATTTTTTGGCACATTTGGACCAGTCAACAGGAGTTAGCAACGTTTCCAAAGTGACGCATTTACGTGACACGGAGCATGGTAGAACACTGACTTGATTAGATTTTTCACTCAATACTTACCCTTACTCAAGTCATTATTTGGGGGTCTACATTTTACTTTAACTTGAGTCATATTATTGCAAAGTTCTGGTCCTTTAGAGCATAGGTGTCAAATTCAAGGCCCGGGGGCCAGATCTGGCCCGCCACATCATTTTATGTGGCCCGCAAAAGCAGATCAAACATGTCAACTTCCACGATGTTTTCTAAAACGTCTACCAAAAATTTAAATTCTCATATGTAATAAATAAGAGAGATATTCTTAGCATTTTCTTGTGACGAAACCTCTCGTGATAGTAACTTAAACAAGAGTTGAATCAACAGTTAACTTGACTTCTTTACATGGTTTCAGTCATCACGGCCCTCCAAGGGAAACGGTAACTAAAATGTGGCCCGCGTCAAAAATTAGTTTGACATCCCTGCTTTCGAGCATTGGTACCGAGCCGCACAGAAAGACTAAATAACTTACATTACTTCCGTTTTATTTATTTCACAATCTGAAAGATGTTTTATTTTGAAAAAAAAACAAACCGAATTCTCTATTACATCCATCTACAGTGTGTCATTATTGACGCAGCTCAAGGCGCTTTTCTTGGTCACGTGATAGGTTACTGCTAAAATGAAACCCAGGAGCGAGCAAAATGAGTAAAAAAACAAACACCTTTGGAAAGTTTCTTTGGGAAGGGGAAAAGGCCCAGCCAGGAGACAGAAGAGGAGCGTACGACTTTCAAAAAAAAAAAGAAGGCTACATTTAATAGACAGCATCAGGGGTCCTACTTAAAATACGGATTTATCTCAACGGGAGATTCCCACACACCAAGCCTACTCTGCATAATTAGCAGCGATGGTGAGTCGTATTTTTCATGCACTTTGTATTTGCAGTGTATCTTATTTTGAAGGCCGTTTAAACATTACCATAGCGTCCAGAGAGTGTTGCAGCCAGATAGGACGTTCCTTGTGTCATGATTCGTGTTTATTATTATGTTTAGAAAATACCACAGTTTTCATGCAGGTCATATCATATTATTTGGGTGTATTTAGTCGCCACAGCTCAAAGGCCGGTCCCTGAAAATATTGTCTGACATTAAACTGGTCCGTGTGGGCAAAAAAAGTTGGGGACTGCTGCTTTAGAGTACAATTTTAAGCGACTCCACCCCGATTCTGATCTGAGGCTTAGCCATTCATCTCTTTGCATACTCATGTTTCCGTCATCCCGCTTTCCTTTAGATGACATAGAAGTCCGATTTTTCTCTTCTAATGGCTGGGAGGCCAAAGGCTCATTCTCCCAAGCCGACGTTCATCGCCAAGTGGCCATCGTCTTTAAGACGCCGCCTTTCTACAACACCTCTATCACGGAGTCGGTCACTGTACACATGCAGCTACGCCGACCGTCCGATGTGGAAGTGAGCGAGCCACTGGACTTCCGATATCTTCCCGATGACAAAGGTGAGCCGGTATGCCGGGAAAACATGCACCGGATGGTGGCCGCCCTTTATTACTTAGTTGGATAAGAAGCTGCACGACCTTTCTCATACAATACATATTTTATGCTTTTTATGCTTGTTTTTTTTCTAGACCCTTATGGCTATAATAAGAAAAAACGCAGTCGAGAGAATTTAATGAAGATGTCCGGATTGTCAGGTAAGATTTGCCACTGAACGTAATCGGTTAAACATTAGCCCTATGCCCAGTATGTTCACATCCAGAGTGAGTACCTAAATGCATGAATGTGACAAAGGTGTTTCTGCATTTTTCTAGCTGTTCCCTTTTCTAGTCTGGCTACGAGCAGGCAAAGGGCAGTGCCACAGAGCACCAGGAATCACATGCAAGGTACAGTAATGACTTTGATTCATGTAGTACCTTAAAAGAGACTCTAGGACATACAAAAGAAAAGATCCCGAGACAAATGGTGTCAGGAGTTTTGGATATTCCGTGACCTTCTATCTCCATGATTGCAATGTATTGCCAGGTCATCTTTTTTCAAAACAGATTTACTCACAACACTACCAAAGATTGACCACATTTACCCACAACACTACCAGTGCCCATTTTCCATTTCAATTGATTCATGAATTATGTTTGTCTGTTGCAAATAGTTATCTGTCCCTACATTCATTTCCTATTTTGAAGTAGTTACCAGTTCCAACAATTTCCAGTTGCGTGTTCAAAATACAGTCATTCCCCATTCCATCAAGTATTTATATGGATTTATTACACCGGTAAAATGAGAAGTCCCAACTGGCAAGTGGCCACCCTTGACAGTCGCATTTTACGGTAGCATGATGATGGTATATTGCACAGGTGTCAAACTCAAGGCCCGGGGGCCAGATCCGGCCTGCCAGGTCATTTTATGTGGCCCGCGAAAGCAAATCGTGTGTGTCAACTTGCTAAAATCTGTACTGAAATGTCAAATTGTAATGTGTTATAAATAACGTTGCGATTTTGCAATGATTTTGTTACCCCGTTTACTCTCACTTGAACAATAATTGAGCAAACTATTACACTTGACTGATTTTTAAAACGGGTAATCTATCAATTTGTTGTGTACAAGTAATAATTTTGTGGTTTCATTGTCCTAACGGCCCTCCGAGGGAAGACGTAACTCCGAATTGGCCCGCGGCTAAAATGAGTTTGACGCCCCTGCTATAGTGGGTCCTAGCTAATTTGGCAGTGATCCTTCATTTAATGACTATACCTATCACGACACCAAAATCATCATAATTCTATGTTGATCTGTCATAAAAGTTATTTTATTTTTATTTATTTATTTTTTGTTTTGTCCCCAGGCCTCAGCATGTACCCGAGGCAGCCTCCACCTCCAATGCAGCAGCAACCTGCATTCAACCAACCCTACCATGCAAATGTTCCAGTCAGCCATTCTTGGACAAACCCCAACCAAGTACTTCCGATGGATACGGCCTCCGTCAATCCTTCTAACATCATGGGCAATCCGCCCCGGCCGAAGAACTGTCGGCCACAGCATCAAAACCATGGTTCTGCTTTCCCCTGTGAAAGCAGTCTCCTCCCTGAGCTCTCTATGAGGGACTTGCAGTGCTTGGACGCAGTTCCTCAAGTTCCTGTGATGAGCCAGCCTGAGTCCCACCCACTCTTCCATTCACAGCACCAGGGGCCAGGACCTGCCTTTGATAACCGGGTCCAGAACCACCTTGGGAGTCAGAACCAGGGCTTTCAAAATGCGTGGAACAATTTTAGTGCCCTCAGTCCATTTCAGATGGAGAGCACAGTTCCTGGTTCAGAAAAGAGTGCTCAGGGGCTGGGAAATTTCCCACTCCTGGAGGGAATGGAAAGAAATGAATTTATGAAGGGCCAAGTCGGAAGAGAATCTCAGACGGGGTTCCAACTGAAGCAAGAGTCTCACGTCTCAGTCAAGCAAGAGTCTACCTTGCCTGCGATGCCTTTTCCTCAAGAACCCCACGCGAACACATACACCAACCTTCTTCCTCGTTCTATGAGTAACGGCACCAACACGAATGTTTTAAGGCAGGACGGTGGAAGAAAACCACACCTTGCTCACCCGAATCTTAAAGACCCTTACTCTACCAATCACATGACTTCTGAGAGTCACTTTTCAACTTTGGAGGACTGGATCAGAGCCGAGACAAGCCATTCCTTAAAACAGTGACCACTAGGAATCACATCAACAGAAGGTGCTCGGATCCAAAGAATTCATCTCGTCGCATTGAGCATTGAATTCCTGCAAATTGAAACCGATACTAGTCCTAAGCATGCTAATTGGGCATTTGCTTTGCCGTGTAATGTATTGTGGATGACATCAGTGGGTGAGCACAATCATTGGTACAGTTGTTCCACACGCTAACCAGCGCCAGGGAACGATTTCATGGCACTTGGTAATGCAAATCTTTATTTGGTGGAGTACTTCATTATTTTCACCAGATAATAACTAATCATATTCCATTTTAGATCATTTATGACAGGAAAAATTGCTGCAGTTCCAATGCACTTTTGTCTTCTGTTATTTTGAGCTTTCGTCAGATTTCTTAAACGTAAACCAGAACAAGAGATGAGCTTGTGATGAAGGCCACGAAAGTTAGAGGAGGATATCGAAGTGGGCTCGTGGTACACTCGCTTGACTTTGGTACAGGCAATGTGGGTTCAGTTCCCACTCAGTGACAGTGTGAACGTGAGTGTCAGTGGTTGTCTCTCCCTATTTATGTCTTGTGATTGTCTGGCAACTTGTTCAGGGTGCAAGTTGCCTGTTGCCATAAGTGAGCTCGGGTCGGCTCCTGTTCCTCCTATCCATAAGAGCAGTGTTTTTCAAACCTTGTGCCGCGGCACACTGGTGTGCCGCAAGATATTGTTAGGTGTGCCGTGGGAAATTATACAATATGTATGCCTGTGCGGTCGATTGCCTGGAATAGTAATCATGTAGTTCTCTTCCATACCAGTAGGGAGCAGCAGCAGCTGGAAATTTCCTTATGTTTCGAGACAAGCGAAGTTTCCGACGCGAGGCAATACAATGAAAGGTATCTTTCATTTCGATTTACTTTTTACCGGAGATGCAACGGCACCAATGTTCCCTCTAAGCTGTGCAACTGCGCACTGGTCTCACACTGTCAGCGCACAAGAAAACCTATCCAGCACAGTAAACGCACTGCGAATGAATTAGATATGTAACTTTTTTTTCTGTATCAATTTGCTGTGTAATTCAGTGAGTGATAGGTGTCCAGCCAATCACACGATACGATGCAATGACACTATGCAGCCAATCACGAAAAGAACCCGCTGTCACACAGAAAAAAATCCGACCCTGAGCAAGTTAAGGTTCTAATCTTTTACTTGCCATTAAAACGAATGCACCAAATATGAGATTGATGTTGATTTGATTCCTATTCAAAGTGTAATAATATTGCATTAATTTTCAATGTTAAAAAAAAACGCTTATAGTAACAATATAACACTTAATTGTTAAAATAAGCTTTTTTTCACATTTTCAGGTAGTGGTGCGTCGCGGGATTTTTTCAATGAATGAAATGTGCCTTGGCCCGAAAAAGATTGAAAAACACTGCATAAGAGGATAAGCGCTAGAGCAAATGGATTGTTGTACTTTTTTTTTTTTTCCTCTTGTGATGTGTCATTCCTTGCTGCTGCGAATCAAGTGCAAATGTATCATGATTTCATTGGAGGTTCAATTGTTTGGGGGGGAAAAGATGGGGAATTTTCAAATTACCGTGGCTCTTTGAATTGCTTTGTAAAAGAATGCCACATATTGCGCATGTGCATTTAGATTTTTTTTCCATTGTTTTTTGTCGAACAACATTTTTGTCATTTTAGCCGTAATTCAGTACTCGCTGAAGGGCTCATGAATTGACAAGGTACTAAATTTTCCAATGAGGAAGTTGGAGGAAGCACGCAATGTTGTGACTTTCCTCAGTAATGACTATGTCACACTAGTGATCACATGTGTTATTCTCAAAGAGGCAAACAGATGTGTGACTGATACAAATGTAAATATTTTCTTGTTTTATTCATTCAGCTGAGGCTTCTTTGATTGTTTTCTTTTTTTTTTTTTTATCGAGAAGTGGCTAATGAAGGACGAATGTTCGCTCTTGTTCAGAGCTACTTTGTCATCTGTGGCCAAGCTCATCATGTCTTTTACTTGTACCTCCTTAAGAACAATTTTTGACTATATTTCTGGGTGATTGGAGGGTTTTGCAGCATGATCAAATCTTAATAAACAATGGTATTCAAAATCTGATGTCACTTACTAGTTTAAGATGTATGATAATATTAATAATAATAATAATCACAATAATAATCAGGCAAAACCTTTATTATGATGATGATGATTATTATTATTATTACTACTGCTATGACTACGAATACAATGGTCAATGGGAAATTTTAATCAGAGATGGCTTTATGTGTTCCTAAAATTATTCTTTGAGGGTGATTAAAAAAAGGCCTTTACTTTTTTCGAGCACATCAGGTTTTGGAGATATTTTCATTCCTTGATTTTAAGTTTGACCAATGAAAGATTTTATGTGTTTTTTGCTGAACCTAAAACCTTCAGCCACAAATGCTATATTACATATTAGATTAATAGTAGTAGTAATATTATTAAAACCTGATGTGCTGGTGGACCAACGAGGAAAGATTCAGAATCTGTGTAAAAAAATTTGCAAGAAATGTTTACTTTCATCTTCGATTCAAAAAAAATTGTAAAAAATTGTTGACCATTATTATAATTATCATTCTCATCATGATTAATACCATTCTTCTTCTTCTTATGATTATTATTATTATTATCATTATTATAGCAAAGTAACAGGACGCCATAGAAAACCCACACATGCGTGGAAAGAATAAATAAACTCCACAGAGGACCCCTTACCTCAGAGCAGTGAGCCAGCCACAACCAATTTTTATGCGCTACATGACATGTAATAGTTTTTCCAAATTTTGTTCAGTTGATTTGTATTTTATTAAATCTATTTTACAGTGAGTATAAAAATGGCTACACTACGCGTTCAAATGCCGGTTTATTTGTGTGTTTTTTTTTAAATGAGACACAAATGAATGATTTTAATAACTTGTGCAAACTTGAGCAATGAATTATAAACTGCACAACGCAAGTGGATAAAAAAAGTAATTTCAAGAAGGGAAGTTAAAAATAAATACAAATACTGAGGTAAGGTGGATGGTGGCTGTGTAGTTATTGAGTTAACCATTCACATTCAGTCATATGTTAAATATGAGTTAGCACGCACCTGCCACCATTGACTGTTCATTTGATTAGCCACAAATAAAGTTAATAAAGAGTAGGTTTTTTCTGACATTTGATTACAATTTGTACTCACAGCACCAGCCATGGTCCATAAAAAGCTTTCACAGCATCAGAGGGATCTCATTGTTCAAAGGTAACAGTCAGGAGAAAAGTACAAAAGAATTTCCAAAGCATTGAATATGGATGTGACAGTTTGACATTTTCCTGACAGTGAAGACAGTCATTATTAAATGGAGAAAATATGGCTGAATCGTGAATGGGGACCAGAACCCCCGCCCCCTGCAAAAGATGAAAAACCGCTAGGTAGGATTTGCACCCCCCTTAGGAATTTTCGTGTTTGTAGGTACCAGTATGTTTAAAATATTTGTGGCGCTCACAAGGCAGTGAGGAACAGTTGCACATTTGTAAGCAGAAGAACAAGCTTACTTTTTTGTCTAGTCACACAATGCCAGGTGTTGCCAAGTCATTAGTCAGCATATCATGCACAATCATGGTGTCACGTCAAAACTGAAATGATCACATAACAGAACTATAAAGACTGAAACAACAAAAACAATAGAAGAAATAAGTAACAGAAAACATGCATTTAAACACTATTTACAATCGAGGTACATTTGTATGCCGTAAGCGCTCTTAACGTGCGTCGTGGGAAATCAAATTTCACTCAAACGGCCCAAAATTTACATATTTATAGTAAAATAATGTATCTTTGTTTGTCGATCTATGCAAGTGATTTATTGAGGCAGACAGACCTAAATTCATAATCTTCGATTAGATGGCAGAAAGTATAGAATTGGCATGTAGCCACTATTTATGATCATTTTGTTTGGAGGTGTGCCGTGAGATATTTCCAACTTAAAATGTGTGCTTTGGAAATCACTGTATTGATGTATGCCTGTTTGCTATTTTTTTTTTCCAAATCCATACTGTGCTCCCCTCCTTCCAGGAGTTCAGTTGCACCGAACGTTATTTTCAGTAATGCTGTAATAGGCTGTTGTCGATAAGAATGGGCATCAATCAAGTATAATCATACTTTTTTTATTTTTAATGCCAAGTGAGCCTGTGTTTCCACAACATGTGCATTGTATACACACACACACACACACACACACACACACACACACACACACACACACTGTACTTGCAGCTAATTGGACCTGGGTTACAAAATTGCTCTGCGTGAGTCTGTCTACACCGCAAATTAGTCCATCATTGCAGTATTTATTCATCTCAGACTCATGTGAGAATTTATTTTCATGAGGCTTTCAAAAATAAAGCTCTTTTGTGAAAGGAAAAAAATCAAATAAAATGTGAATTCAAGTTTAAACATTTGAGATTAACACAGGTTAAAAATAAGAGAAATTAATGAGAAATCCGTCGTCAAGTTAATCAAAAAGTGAAACATTATTAGAGTTTAAGGTGTACAAAATTCAGCAGTGGAGGTAAAGGTATGTGAAGCTAGAATACAGGTATACAGTGTTTACTTTTATGTATGATGTATAGTTCCAAAAAAAAAAGCTCAGCAATACATCAAAACAATTATTTTTCAAGATTCTAACATAGTCAGTGGCACTATCAAATGTTGACTGATTGTTTGAAAACGAGGAAGTGAGAGATGAGAGCAAACTAATTCTATTGTCCTGCTTTGCCACTAAAAGTATAAAAGGTAAGTACCGTATTTTCCACACTATAAGGCGAACCTAAAAGCATTCAATTTTCTCAAAAGCCGACAGTGCGCCTAATAATCTGATGCGCTTTATATATGGATCAATATCCTGATTGCTTGGATGTAGTATTTTACATGTTCTGTAAAATGCTTTGTTATAGCTGCAGGCGATTGAGAAGTCTATATAAATAAAGCTGTGTTGAATTGTATTGTATTCCCTTTAGCGCAGCTCCATCTAGCGGATGCATAACGCAACCTCAGCCACTATTGTAGCTTCTATTCGATGCGCCTTTTACTGCGGTGAGCCCTATATATGAAAATAGTTTTAAAATAATAGGCCATTCAGTGAAGGTGCGCCTTATACTCCGAAGTACCTTATAGTGCGGAAAATACGGTAATGTATATGGTAGACAAATGATATTTTAGTCCGTGCTGTGAACTGCTAAAAACAAAAGGCCATAGGTTTGGGCACCCCGAAAGTAATTGAAAATAATAATAATTTCAAATTCAAACGATGGCCCACCCCTACTCTAGAGTCCAACCAGTGCGACGAAGGAAAAAGTAGATAAAAATAGTCGCGATGAAGTTAGAAAAAGTTTTTTTTTTAATAAAATTTGAATAAAAAATAGCTCGCGGAAATTCTGATTGGCTGGTAACTTTATAGAGTCACCAGTCAGATTGATTGCTGTTCAAAAAAGTTAATTTAGAAACCTGTTCATTTGATTATCCAACAGTAATTAGTAAACGGGAGTTTGTCTTGTTTTGTCCCACTGACCTACTTTTTACATAATAAAACAGGTTTGGGATATTTTTTCTTTCTTTTATTCAATTATGTCACCAGTTGCGTCAACAAAGAAGGATCCTAAAACTGGTTTCTGCAATCGGTCATCAAATCTCCTATAAAAAGACTGACTCTGCTGTTGTCACGCATCAAGTTTTCATTTCTTCTGGAAGCTATTGCAGTGAGTGTTTTCACAATGCATGCATGCACATGACGTATGCAATGATGATGTATGCAACCGTTGAGAAATTTTGTCTGTGAAGCTCGCTCATTGCTACACATCGCTCCGTATCATATGATTATGAACATCGATGTGGAAAACACACGCTGGACCAGTTGGGCCACCCGTTTCCAGTCAAGCCCGTCTCATCTGGCTGCGGATCCTCACCTTTTCCTTTCCTGAAGCCTGTCAGACTCCCACATATCAATCAGGCTCACAAACCCACAATCACTGGTAACCTGGCAACGCAACGCACTGTAGTACAGTGAGGTTATCTAATCTAATTATACAGTTGTGTTTAGAAGATAGCTCTGTGATTTTTTTTTTTTTTTTTTTTTTTTTTACAACCAGGGCATTGGCAGCTGTGTTTGCACTTATGAAATGATAGATTGTTTTTGTTTTTTTTAGTACTGGTACTTTTTATATATATGTGTCTCAAGGGTTTTATGTATGAACAAACAAATGTACAAAATCAGTAAAGCGCAAACTCAAAACAAAATGTCAGAGTAAGATTTACAAATTGCACTTCGATCAAACGCCTTGTCAATGGAAGAAGAAGTTGAAGATAAGTTTGGCCCTCTTGGGGGAAAACTGCTAATATCTATCTATCTATCTATCTATCTATCTATCTATCTATCTATCTATCTATATATCTATATCTATATATCTATATCTAGATATAGATATATAGATATATAGATATAGATATAGATATAGATAGATAGATAGATAGATAGATGATTTGAATGTTTTATTCAGCATTTGTAATACATTGTTGTAATCGCTGAATGTTTTATGCAACAATCGCATCCTCTGCTCAACAAGTCAGTGCAACAGTAAACGTAAATGACACCCTGCTCTGATTTAATTAGTGGTGATCTAACTGATGGAAGGAAGCCCAGTCCGCAAACTGTCATCTTCAACGTCACTATGCTCGCTTAGATAACAGACAATCTCAGTGCCGCAACATTTAGAAACCTTCTGCAGCACATTTTAATTATAGCAATTAAAGCTTAAGAGTTAGACTCTGCTTGAAAAAGTTACTCACAGAGCTGGGAAAATCCCACCCACACTATGAGATTATTTAAGAGTACGGTGCAGTATTTCACAATAGTCAGACACGCCTCCCCCTAACTACTTGTTTTTTTTTTTTTTTGTTAATGTTCACAGTGGGATCCTGTGTGGGACTCTGCCACTCTGGTTCCAAATGAAGTAATTTTGCATAAAATTCTTCAACTCGTTAGTTCATTTTTGCTATTTGCTATTTTTAGTGTTTGATCATTCATGTTTTGAGTTTTTGTATTGTCATATTGGCATACTTTCCAAATAAGACATCTGGTTGGGGATATTCTTGGGGTTTTCACTTTACCTGAGTAAAAAGTTCTCATTAAACTAGCCTGTCTAATAAAAATACGAGTAGCTGTAATTCGAAATGGAATCACCTATTCTTATACATACAAAGGCAAAATTGTTGGGACGCTTCTGTTCAAGAAAAACAAAAGAAAAATGCACAAAAGGTCACTGAAACAAGTGAAAATGACTACAATAATGACAAATAACGGTTTGGTGAACAGTGAACTTGAGTGTTTGAAGGCGGATGTTTTAATTTTCAGTCCTGTCGTAAGACTCGTGAACTGTGGCTGAGACCCAGCCATCTGACATATTTCGGTCCAGGTACACACAGTTTGCTTGACTAACAATTTAGCCTCTGTGTGGATGTCACCATTCTTTATTTCTGTGAAAAGTTGAGTCAGTGACTGCCTAAGAATGAGAGAACATTTTCATATCGCGAATCATACCGGAGTGGGCATGCACGTGCATGTAGACATGGCGTTTAGTGACGATGTGTGCAGAATACTGACACTTGCAGCAGCGTGCCTCATTCAAGTTTTCAAACGAGAAACAAGTTGAGAATCAAAGACAGTTTCACTGACATTCTCAACCGCATTTTAGGAAGCGCCATGTTTTATCCTGACTTGAATGTTGCTGGGTGTGCCAAATATGTTTGTCTGCCCCACGTGCTTTGGCTGTCACTTTACTCCATGTTATGCATGGGATTTTGTGCTCAAAGGTCACATTTGATTTTTAAATTGAACAGGGCCAGGTCATTTGCAGATGTGCCGCAGAAAAAAAAAAAGAACAAAATTGTTCCTGCTGTTGTGATCGTTAGGGTTCCTCGCAGAGTGTCACTCACATGATTTGTTTGGTACAGATTTCAGATTTTACTGCAAATGTTCGTCCTGACACAACACCCACTTGCTTTTGTCAGGGCTTTTGACCAGCTGCGCCTGGTAAATTCAATATTATAATGAATTAAATGAATACAGGTGATCCAGTGGTTAGCATGTCGATCTCACAGTGCAATGGTACCGCGTTCAATTCCAGCTCCGGCCTACCTGTGTGGAGTTTGCATGTTTTCCTCGGGCCTGTGTGGGTTTTCTCCCGGTACTCCGGTTTTTCCTCCCACATTCCAACAACATGCATGGCAGACTGATTGAATACTCTAAATTGTCCCGAGGTGTGGGTGTGAGCATGGATGGTTATTCGTCTCTGTGTGCCATGCGATTGGCTGGCAACCGGTTCAGGGTGTACCCCGTCTATTGCCCGAAGACAGCTGGGTTAGGCTCCAGCACGGCCCGTGTCCCTTGTGAGGATAAGCGAAAATGGATGTATGGATGGATGGATTATTAATTAAGCAACTTCAGGCAAAAACTGGCTAAAGTAATACAATAACTAGAGCAGGAGACTTGATCATGTACAGTTACTCTGTGGTCTGATAAAAGAATTGAGCCAGCCGTATGTGGCCCGCGAGCCCTTGTCTGATAAAATGCAAGTAGTCTTTGTCTCTAATCTCCGTAAATCATGACAACGCAAAAGGTCATGGGTTCTTTTCATTAACCTCAAAGACCAAGCCCACCATCAACTCCAGCGCCTTCCCACACGCTTTGACATCAGAAGCCAATACTTTCTATTCCCAGGAAAAACGACAGCATCATCTCACAAATGGCAGCCAAACTTTCACACGCCCACAGTAATAATACCATGCAGGCATTTTATGCAGTTCGCCCCACAGCAAAGCTGCTGTGACGGCTCTGCACACACGCCTGCACCGCAGCATTGACATCACTTGGCTTGTTTGATGAAACCACAATACACACCTCTGCACTCGCTGCTTGTCTTTAGGAGAAGCTCTCCTCATAGTGGCAGCAGCCGCCTCTTCACACACCTCAATCCGGTGTCAGTGTCACTGTCGCTTGACTTTACTCTTCACCGCATCATGGGGGAATTTCACGATAATGTCACTTTATAGCTATAATTGCAACTATTGCGTTAGGTACAGAAATACAGGCATTGAGTTTTAATCATTTTGACTTTAACACAGTCGAACAATTATGCATAGAAATGATGCATATCAACAGTATCATACAGGATACGTATTGGGTGTCTAATTAATCATCGTTATATTATATAGCAGCACTGTTAATGATATATTTCCTACATGATTTACCACTCACGATCAATTCAATGCCCTGAGGATGAAATGACCTGGAGGAATGAGAATATTCACAAAGACTTCACACTTGCACTCATTGTACAAATATGCTTGAATATAGTTCGTAATCGAACTATATTTATTATGTACCACATACCACATATTAATCCCCCCCCCCCCCATTCTTATTGAGATTAGATTTCAATCTCTTTTAAATTGTTTTGTTGTGTTTTCGTGCGAGTCTTGCTGGAGTCACCAGCAAAAGGAAAACAGTAGCATGATAGCGAAACAAAACAGACTAGTACACTTGTCACGAGAGTAAAAAAAAAAAAAAAAAAAAACAATTCGCATAGCTGCGGGACTGGGGACTCTTCGCTTTGCCCGACAAAAAGTATACTTGGCTTGTTCTGAAAAGTATACATGTACTCTTAAAACTTAATTTCTTCCAATTTAGTATGAAAAATTACACTTTACATACTTATACTTGAGTATACTTTAAAAATTATGCCTATATCTACCACTTTTTCGTAATGGGTGACGTCCTTGTGTTCAGGGTGCAGGAATTTTGCCCCACCCAGGCCCTATATATTCCATTGAATTATGAGCCACCGTGCATGTCAAACTTTTACGCAGGAGGATTTTTTTTGCACTTCTGAGCGGCTGTTTTGTCACTAAAACAGCAGAGATCAATGCAATAACTTTACCCATAATTACCTATACTGTTTAACCTGATCATCTCTAAATAAAAATGCTCATATTTCAAAATATTTTCACTTCAACGATCAATATTTGTTATTTACTGTTTTGTTCTCAAATTAAGTAATGTGCTGACCACTGCCAGTGTTGTGGCGGCACTCTGGCGCCCTCTACCGACCAGTAACCGAACTGGGTACTACCGGTATATGCAGTTTATCCGCAACATGACATATTTTTTGTACTGTATACACTTTTAGGATTTATAAAAGTAAACCTTTAAAATTATGAAACACTCTCTAAAAGGACAGCAGTCTAGTCAAGTCTTGATGGCCTATTGTCGTATCTAATTTTCCACACGAAAAAAAACATTATCTATCTATCTATCTATCTATCTATCTATCTATCTATCTATCTATGCGGCTGTCTGTCCATCTATCTGTCTGCCTGTATGTCTGTCTTGTTGTGGCCTTTGAATGTTTTACTTCATCATAGCTCTCTCTGCCGGAAGAAATGTTGCAATGCATGTCATATTACATTTTGCAGCACAGCATGAGGAAATAGAATGTAATACAACGTCACGTTTATCTGCATCGCTTTAATGTCTTAAATTGAAAATAAATGATGATGAAAATGAATGTAGAGCCCCTGTCACCCTTGGACCCGTATAATCCTCTTGATTTTTCGTCTCACAATAACTCACTACTAGTCCACCGTGCGGAAATAGGACTACAATTAAATCGGACTACTCTCTGCAACAAATTTTAACAAATACTAGAATAAAACAAATGCTCTTAACAAATACTAGAATAAAACAAATGCTCTCAACATCCCCTTTGAATGGTCCAAAATGCAAGATATAGAAATATACGAGGAGACATAGGAACGCATCACGAGAGGCGTTCAGGGGCTTTTGGTCTGAAACGCTTCGGGTTATTTTGACACTTCGGGGCCATTTTTGTGCGATGGATTCGCAACCGCCGCCAAAGCCGTGGGAACGGCGGATTCCCGGGACCATAGGTGCACCTGTAAATTACAGGTAAACGAATGGGGCTGTTTTCTTTCGTAATATCTGTTTTTTGAAGTAACATTTGTCGATGTAATCGTAGTGCCCAGTTCGCGTGCATGCTAACTAGCCATGCTAAAATCCCAATTCGATGGACTGTACCTAATAAATTAGGCGTCTGTGAAAGCCTGGTTGCGATCAAGAAGAATTATATAACTTTCCTCTGTGCTCTAACGTCTTCTCACCACCTGGAGAAGTTGCAAGGAAACGTTGTTGTGTTGTTTTGCTCACTTAGCCTGGCCTAACACCATGGCCTTCCAATATGTTGTGAAATGAAGATACCTCATTACACAATACTGTACGCCTCTGTTTTTTTTAACTTGTCAATATTTGTCCACAGTATTCAACCACGCGGTGTTTATGCGTTCCGAGTTTAATGTGTTCGCAGTTTAACTATTTTTGACTATTCGTGCTTATTCTAACACCAAAGGATTACGATACGAATAACCTATGCAGAGGTGGCAAAAGTACTCACACTCTGTATTTAAGTACAAGTACAAACTAGTCAAAGTAGAAGTTGTCAAACTCTTAATGAAGTAAAAGTTAAACTAAAAAAAGTTCACACTGAAATGTAATTAAGGGCAAGAGGGAAAAATACTATCAATTATATCCAGCACCCCATTTGATAACTTGGCTCAACGAAAAACACTAACACATTAAGTCTTTTCTCTTTTATTAATTTAAATAACGCTTATACGGTGAAGTTGGGGGCAACGATAGATGAATAAACCGTTATTCTTGACTTCTTCATATGGTTTCAGTCTTAACGGCCCTCCAAGGGAAACTAAATCTAACTAAAAACTACTAAACTAAACAAAAACAAAAAAATGTAACAAAAATCTGGCCCGTGACAAAAATGAGTTTGACACCCCTGCTCTAAGCTGTCCCAAGGTGTGAATGGTTGTTTGTCTATGTGTGCCCTGTGTTTGTCTGGCAGCCAGTTTGCATTTAAATCTATTATCACCAAACAGGTCGACGGACTTTGGACCTCCTGCAGGCTCCAGTATTGGCCCTCCCATCCTGACCAGAGTTGCACCACCGCTGCCCCCACGTCCTGTGCAACAATCTTACCGTCCAGCTTACAGCTCCTTCACCTCCTCTTACAGTCCCTACGGGAGCTCCATGTACGGGGGCTACAGCCCCTACAGCCCCTACAGTGGTGGCTACGGCCTCGGAGGTTACAGTCGCTTCTCTCACGTGGAGGATGCCGCCCCCAGTCGCTTCGTGCAACAGGCTGAGGAAAGCAGCCGCGGCGCTTTCCAGTCCATCGAAAGCATCGTCCAAGCCTTCTCTTCAGTTAGCATGATGCTAGACGCCACATTTTCAGCCGTCTATAACAGCTTTCGTGCTGTGCTGGATGTGGCAAACCACCTGACACGGTTACGTGCGCATCTCACCAGGGTTTTGTCAGCATTTGCCTTGGTGCGCACTTTGAGATACCTCTACCGACGTTTACAGAGACTGCTTGGTCGAGGGTCCGCTGCTGAGGTTGAGGATTTATGGGCGGACAGTGCAAGCGATGCTCTGGCAGTACCCAGAGGCTCTGGAGCCGGAATGGACGATCAGACCGTTAAGTCGTGGCCAATCATTTTATTTTTTGCCGTGGTCCTGGGTGGTCCTTACCTCATTTGGAAACTGCTGAGCTCTGCCACTGGCTCTGAAGATAGGGGTGAGATTTGTCTTCCACAAAAGAATTTATACTTGAAGAAAAGATTGTTTATGACACAAAAAGTTCTTTTTTTTTTTTTTTAAGAATTATCACACATTATGCGCTCGTACGGGGTAATTTTTGCAATGGTTGAGCACTTTTGATCAACGTCCTGTTAGTATGATCCAGTGATGTGAAAAAGTATTTGCCCAGTTCCTTATGTTTGTCTTTCCATATTTATCACACACACAGATTTCAGTTCATCAAACCAATTTTAATATCACACAGAGACAACCCAAGGAAATACGAAATGCAAATTTTAATTTATTTAGACCAAAAAAAAAAACATTTATTCAATATCCATGACATCCAACTTTAGGTCCATGTACTAGTACGCTCTTTGTCCGCACTAGTACGACAATACAAAGCAATAGTAGACCAACCAAGCAGCACGAACGATGTTTTTTTTCCTCACAACCACTCTCTTGATTTTAATGGGTGTGATTGTGTTGTCTCGTAGCGACTAACTGGGCCAGTGGAGAGGATGACCATGTTGTGGCAAGAGCAGAGTACGACTTTTCAGCTTCATCCGAGGAGGAGATTTCTTTCCGGGCTGGGGACATGCTCAACCTTGCACCGAAAGGTGAGGATAGGGAAACAGGCGTGAGTGTCTCATCTTAATTAGTTCGCTTTCGTTGGCATTTTTAGTTTGCAAAGATCATATTTGAGTGGAGTACTTGTAATAAACGCTCTATTCAAGGGAAAAAAGCCATCTGCTTTGTTTACCATTCTTTCAGATTGAGAAATAGTGTAAACATTTTTTAATGGAGGTTAGGTGTATAAAAAAATATTCCTTTATTATTCATTTTCATGCTATTGCAACATGAAATACGGTCAAACGTTTTTTCTAGCATCCATAGTCGCAAATAAAATAGGTAGGGAAAAAAAAAAAATCAAAACTCTTTTATAAGAAGTATTTGTTAAGGAATTCATTCCAGAATGTTAGTCCACCACTGGTTTGTTTGATTTCATTTTTTTTTTCCCAAAAACAAAATCCAGCATTAAATTGTTCCCATTACAAAAGCTTCATCAGTTTACTGTTTGAAAGCACAAAAATCATATAAACAGGCAGGCTTACCGTAATTTCCCGTCAAATACACAATTTTTGTCGTTGAAGAAAATTAAATAAATACCCAAATTTGCCACCGATATTGTACGTAGGTCATTGAAAATTATGAAAATGTTTCACATTTAATAGATGTTCACCAATACCAAGAGCAGGAGTGCCCATTACGTCGATCGCGATCGACCGGGACCTCGCGCGCTGGTCCCAAGTTGATCATGAGGGGTGTAGAGAGAAAAAAAACCCCAAAACAATCCAAAAAAATTTGTGTGTCTGTGTGCGGGTTATTCATATATTTTTTTTGTGTTCAACCACACTGCACCCTAATCATCCTGTCAGTCTCACTTTCACAAAAAGTATAAAAAAAATAAAATAAAGCAGGTCACCTTTAAACTACGATGGCGGGTGACCTGCGTCACCATGGGGTTGTTAGTGCTCAGCAGTCTGCAATTGCAACATGCGTCCAGAGCTGTTGCGATATAGCTTTTATTTTTATGATGATTATTATTTTTAGTATCAGTCAAAAGTTCCTTTCGTGTACCATTCACCGATGGCACTCGCACATGGCAATCTGGAGGGCTGAGAGAAGCATTTTAAAATGGTGCACGTAGTATATTATGCCACTACCTTTTCTTTTTCATGTGATTTTTATTTGTTTATTTCGTCTCAGTTCATTCAGCCATGGCTCCCGTTGCATTTTTACAAGCTGAAAGTATTTTCCTCACTCTTTCTCTCATCCTGTTTAGAGCAACAGCCCCGTGTGCGCGGCTGGCTGCTGGCCAGCCTGGACGGTCAGGCAACAGGCCTCATCCCCGCCAATTACGTCAAGGTCCTCGGCAAGAGGAGAGGCCACAAGCAGGCAGAGATGGAGAGGCTCACTCAGGTGCAGCAAGAGAACTCGCAGGACTCCCGGGCTGCCCTCTCCGCAAATGGGAATCCTTCGTCCGTGGAGTTGTTGGAGTCAGTGTACAAAGAAACACCAACTTCCACCAGTGTAGGACTTCCAAATTGCAGTTCCAATACAGTCGTTAACATCCCGGAGAAAACTGACCTGTGAATCTACTGCTAGTTTGAATGTATGCAAGTCTGTTTTTTTTTTTTTGTAAATGACTCACTTTCACTGTTCAACTGTAAATGTTGACTGATTAACAGTAAAAGTAGTATGTGGAACTACAGTATCTTATAAAGGGTCAATTCACACATTTTCATGTTTCTTGGTTTAGAACCTGCGTTGGAACTTCGAGAGTTGTAATAAAATAATATATATAATTTTATTTGTGTAGTCCTGATGTTGATCATGTTTAATTCAAAATGCGTGTGTTTATAATGAGAAGCAACTGATTTTGACCACCCCCGGAAACAGCATAAATACATAGTAAAATTATTTTGTCAAATAAATCATTTGAAAAAGCTTAATCGTGTAGTTTTGCCTACTTTGAGGACATTGTTTCATTCATTGTTCACGTCACTAAGACCTAATGGCTCAAATCAGGGGTGTCCAACTGTCCATACCTCAGGCGCTGCTGTCCTGCCTAATTCAAATACTGTATTAGAATCGTCCTCCTGCTGGTTCAGAGCTGGCTATTAGCTCATCAGTTGAATCAGGTGTGTTGCAGCAGGAAGAGATGGAAAAGAGGCAGGACAGCGGCCCTTGAGGGCCGGAGCTGGATATGCCTGGCTTCAATGAAGACAAATTTAACTTCCTGGACTTGTTTCTACTAAAGCCGTCGTCTCTTAGCAACGGGACGCCCAGCTTCCAGTTTTGGTTTACAACTAGACCAAATAAATCAACTAAACCAGGGTTAATATTCGCATGATGAAGCTTTGCTTTTAAGATTCGTCTAACACTGCAGTGTATTGTCGGCGCAAATTTGGTAATTATGATTTACCGGTACATTTTTTTGCTTCTCTGCTTGCGTTACCCTTATGGAGCATTCAGTCAACAAGTAATTTGACAAAACCAAAGTAACGTTGTTACTTTGGGTATAGTATAGCCACGATTGTCAATAACATTAAATATCCTAAATATGCTTTAACTGTAAGGATATGTACATGGACATTTATTGTTTGAAAAGCCAAGTATAACCATTACAATGATCTCTGCGGCTCACCTGCCGCTAATCGTTCCCGAAATTACGAGGAGTCATTGAAGGCACCAAGTATCCCTCAAAGTTAGCTCGCGTTAGCAATGCGGTTCGCCGCCAATAGGACGTCTCAGCATCAGCATCACCGATTCCCAATGACAAAACGCACGTCGACACAGGTTCCTGTATAAAACTGCAAGAAAATAACTCTTTGACAGCAGATAAGTATGTAACTGATGTTTTATGCGTGTGCTGTTTTCTATCTGGGTTCATTTAGCGAACAAGATCGTTAATTTCTTTGGGGGCGGGGGGCATCGTACAGGAGAGACACTTGGCCTGTGTTAGCATCATCCGCCAACACCAGTGTAATGGTGTGGACACCGCAAGCATGTCTAGATATCCTTAAATGCTGTTACTGTCGCAGAAAAAAAAACATCTAAAATGTGATGACAACTGAGTCATTTGCTGTTATACATCTGAACTTTTAATCTGCATTAGTAGTGAGTGAAGTATCTAATCCAATAAATAATAAGTAAAAAAATCACTAACTATGCTGAAAATTGCAATAATATAGTGACCTTGTGTTCTTGCCAGAGATGAGTCACTGCTCCTTGGACAACAACAACTTTCCCTACGACAACAATGTGCTCGTTCTGGACATGGTGCTGGGCTCCCTTTGGGGACTGGCCCAGCCAATAGACTGGGATAGTGTGGCAAAGCTTGTTCCAAGTTTCACTCCCAAAGAGGTACATACTGTACATACAGCATATGAACGGTCTGGCAGCCTGTGATTGATTGCCTGTCACTAGGCACCTGGTTTGTAATATGGAGCTTCTTACTGGATTTTACAGTGCGCACTCCGCTTTGAGGAGCTGAAAAATTCTGGAGGTCTTCCTCATGTGGATGACCAGTGCAATGCTGTCACAAAAGGAATGCCCACAGATGGCGTGTCAACCGTACTGGAGATTGCTCAAGCAGTGGGGACAGAAAGTAATCACAGCGCTGCCTATAAAGAAACAGGTAATTCACTTCCTAAAAATGCCTTCTATTTCTGGACTACTTTACCTTTTTTTGGTCTTAATTTATTGAAAACATCAGTTTACAATAAATGTCATGCATCAAAAACAAATTTCAAGAATGGCTAAATAAATTGGCTATTAAGGGTGACTGAGGTGATTCAATAAAAGCTATATGTACTGTATGTAAAGATAGATGATGAAATGGGAATTAATTGGTTCCAGAGTCAAACATCATCTTTGTATTTTGTGTCCGTGCAGGCCGCAAATTAACACTCTCTGAGAGTGTTTGCACTTTAGAGAAGAAAGACAAAGGAGCCTTGACTGAGGGGGGTGACAAACCTCAAAAGCTAAGGGAGTAAGTTCGTATCTTTCTTGTTTCTGCAGCGCTGCCCAAACCACAGCGCACATTCGTACTTGTCTTAATGTGACATACATTGTCAAATCAGTGATGCAAAATTGTCCCCGCACAGTCCCAACATGATCATCCACGTGTGTGACGAGACCAAGAACCTGAAGCAGGATTTCACATGTCCCAGAGATCTTCTAGTTAAAGAGATGCGCTACTTTGCTGAATATTTGTCTGTGGACACACAGAGATGGGAAGAAGTAGACATCTCGGTTCATTGCGACGTTCAAATCTTCGACTGGCTTATGAACTATGTCAGGAGGAACTCATCCAAAGACAAACCTCGGCTCGGTAAAATCTTGGAGGAAACTCTTACTGTTTTCACATTCCATTTGGGAGCAGCTGAGCTGTCACTTCTGAACTGGCTTGACTTATTGTTGTGTTCGGTGGCGTGTTGTTGGTTGGTCGCATGGGGTTTGTCACTTACAGAGCCCAGCAATGTGATCTCAATCCTGATCTCCTCCGAGTTCTTGAAGATGGACACATTGGTAAGTGGAGTGATGTGTAATGTTGGGTTATTGGGGTTAAGGCATCTTGCTTTTCTGATGTACCGTATTGGCCCGAATATAAGACGGCCTGATTATAAGACGACCCCCTCTTTTTCAAGACTCAAGTTTGAAAAAATACTTTTTGAACACCAAATTAATTTTTATACAGAAAATAATTACAGTACATCTGAAACAAATGATTCTAACAATATATTTGAGTGAAAAAGCCTGTTATTTTGCCTCATTCAAATTTTAATATCTGAACATTTAAATACGTAAACTAAAGTGCAATCACATTCGTAAATGAATGGCGTCTGGTTCTCTTCTATTATTTTCTTCTCTTTTCTTTCTTACCGCTATTTTTTATTTTTCTTCTTCGTGCTACCGTTATTTTTATTTTCATTCTTCGTGACGTGTTCACTTTGGCCTGGGGAGTCAAGTTCAGCATTCGCTTCAGTGATATCTGGCGCCATCTAGTGTTGTGAATGGGTATAATGTCTAGACCCCGAATATAAGACAACCCCCACTTTTTCAGTCTTATTTCAATGCAAAAAACACCATCTTATATTCGGGCCAATACGGTAATTACTCAATTAGAGAAGTCTCCCTCTGAATGTTCGGAAGTCCACTTTAGAAGCCAGTACGGGATTGAACAAAGGAGAAGAAAGTAGTTAGCATAGCATAGGTCTACGTGGATTATCTCCTCTTCCCCTCACTGATGTCATGTTGATGTTCTTTACACCACAAACCTGTTGAGGCTGAATCAGCTGTGTCCCTGCCGGTTGCAGCCAAGTAATGCATTCCATTTGGCCTTAATTATATATATATAGCTCCTGGGATCATATATATATATATATATATATATATATATATATCACATACATACATATATGTCTGGAAATTACACAAGAAAGTAGAAAGAGCCGTAACATAGATATTACTGATTAAATGCATCCCTTTGTACCATTCTAAAGGATCCTGGTAACTTCTAATATTGTGCATTTAACCTGTAACCCGATAATAGTCGGCCATTGTCTTACCACGTTTCAAAAATGTGCAAGTTTGGTTCATTGGACACATTCTTAGGTGTGAATGGTTGTTTGTCTTCAGCATACAGTATGGAGACTGTATTTGGCTGGTGATAGGTTGAGCTGGGAAGGCTCCAGCTCACCCGCAACCCGAATGAGGCTAAGCTGGACGGATAAATCCAAACAAAACTTTCGACATTCTTTTGCCACGTTCTTGTCTCATTTCCAGCCAGCAGATACCATTTGAATGTCATTGAAATCACTGAAACTGATACGTTATCTTTTGCGATTGTATGGCATAGTGCAATGAAAGGAACAATTTCCCAAGAACCATTATTCCTCTATCTCTGCACAGGTGGAGGAGTGTGTCCAGTACTGTCACAAACACATGAGCGCCATCGTGGCGACGCCCTGCAACATGAACTGCATCAACAGCAACTTGGTGTCACGCGTCGCCGAGCTGTTTAACCACAATGAGGCAGACGACATCAGGGACAAAAAAGATAAGTTTAAGAGGTAAGAAGTCCTGTCAATGGATTCACGGCACCTTTCCAATATCCCAAAGCGTCGAATCATACACGTGTGATGTCATCCTCATACATTACGTTAAGGAAACATGTCACAGGTATTGATAGTACATGTGTACTTTAATTCATGCAGTCAGGTCAAGTGATGTATGGACACCCTGATTTGATCGCCTCTCAGTCACTGCGCTGAGGTAAAACTGAAAAATGTGGCAGACATAACACTGAAATTAATAACACTTTTTTTTCTCTTATTCTTCCCTCATTTTACAAAGCAAATTGTTCCAAAAGAAGATTGAGCTTCTCTTCGACCCGAACTACAAGAACCGAGATTCTCCAAGAAATGCCACAACCCTTTACAGGTCAAGACAGACAGAAACATTTTCGTTTTCAACGACACATTTTTTTTTGTACTCAGTAAGTGACATTTTTATGTGGGTGGGTGGGAGGATTGCATCATGACTACTTAATTTGGGTACTTAACACATTTATTAGACCACCTATCATAAAGCGAGTGGCCAACGTCATGAAGTGCTCTCATGCATTACCATACCATTTTCAGCATGCTTGAATGAGTCATTTCAAACTGAATTCACCGTTTATACCCAAGTTTGGGAATGCTTTGCTGGGCTTCTCTGATATTTTTTTTTCTTCTTATCAGCCATGTTTTATTTGAAACTGTAAATTTGAAAATTTGTGCGTAAAAATAACACTGGTCAAAAAGTTGTGATAATTTTATTTTATTTTTTTTGTCAGAGTTGCAAGTAAACGTTTCTAGATCAAGGTTTTTCACTGATTTCCAATTTAGCCTTCCTTCTTTCTCAAGCGCTTTACATTTTTATAATAATAATAATAATAATAATAGTA